GCGTTCGCTTGTACCACATAACGGGAACGATTAGCGTTAATCAACGATGAATTTCCAAACCTTATCGCAAGCAACCTATTTCCACGACGTACAAACACACGTACGTAAGCGGGAAACCGTCGCACAAGCATCCCGATGTTTACGCGTACGGTGTAACGATTAGATTAATCACAGATTCAGATCAATATTCAGCGTGTCTGCACGCTAAGTAAAACATTCGCCGAGTCTTTCCTCTTTATGTTTGCGTCTGTCTTGAGTAGCCTCAGATGATAGATGCTGTTTGTACTCTGTAAATTTCTTGGAGGGAAACTTCGCTCGAGGAGTGCAGTGTCCACCGAGTCACTTGAGAGAGCTCGAGTGACTTTTTCATATTATTATATTATATTATATTATATATCTAGCTTTGAGTAAAAATTTGAATGTCTCGTGTGAGACAAATTTCAAGTGCCAATTGTTTCCTATTCAGTGATGATTTAAATATCTGCGCAATTCCCCCCGGAAGGGGGCGAGTTTTTCTTTTAATAAACATCTAGAGTATATTCATATTTTTATATTATTTTACTTATTTAACAAGAAATACCCACTAAAAAAGATAAAAATAAAACTCTTCACTCATCTAGAGTTTTCCACTTTGAATCGTTGAGTGAATATTTTCACTCGAAATTGGAGAACGAATCCGACTCTACTGTCGTGGGAACGTGTTCACTCGAATCGATTGAAACATTCGCTCGGAGTCAGAATTCACTCCAAGCTTGAGCGAAATATTCACTCTTGCGAATTGGAGTAGCAGTATTTTCAAATGCTGCCACTTTACACTCGTTTTGAGTGAGACTCCACTCCAGGAAATTTAAAAAGTAATAGTCAGCAATATCTAACATGTGGCGACTAGCCCCCACTGAAATCGCGATAAATTTTTTGCTCGTCATTTGCCAACGCGCTCATTATCCAACCTTGACAAAGGGATCGTTTGACCGTTTCACATTGCGCATTACGACATAAACTGTCGCAATTATTGCATCGTTAAACTCCAAATGAGTCTACCTTGTTGGACAAACCGATCTACGATAACGCCGACATGCGGCACTTTGCGAAGCGAAATTCGTCCTCTAAGCGATTTCACTCACCGTGGTGATCAATTCGCAGGAACGACACGAACACCGCGGCACGAAGGGTTTATTGGTTCGAATTGATCACGACGCGAATCACGACGACGGTAACTCGTTTATTAGAAATTTCCGACGCTGGAAACTTGTAATAAACGAGTTATCTTCGTCTCGCACGGAAAGTGAAACGCAAGTTGTCGAGTTTGTCGACGAACGCGGCCGCTCGTGCATGTAACGCGATGATGCCTCACGAGATCATCGTGATTCAAACTCTCGCATCGTTAAACCCTGAATGAATCCGTTACGTTTGAAGAAACCCACGAGCGCGAACGCCACTGATGTGGAAAGACCTTTCGTCTCTGGCGCGTGGTTGAACCCAACGCGATAATTGGAAAGTCCAATGCAACGGTCTGACTCACACTTTCGAGCACTTGAGAGAGGATTAATTTTAAAATTCGACGAGAGAGAGACACGTGTGGGTGTGTACACGTGAGTAAGGGTGAGTGAGTTGGATTTTATTTTTAAATTAACGACACTCTCTCTCTCCCTCTCTCTCTCTCTCTCTCTCTCTCTCTCTCTAGAGCATCAAATATTTAACTGCAGTTTCGTTTCGCAACATTTTACGTTCACATTTCTCTGACTCTTTCGAAGCAAATTCTCTTAACCTTTTTAGCGATTATTCAAAATTACTGGCTTTAAAGTGGTTTTTTAATTCACATTTAAGTACATTCAGAGATCTTTTTTCTTCCTGTTGCTATTTTCTTTGAGAAATTAAAAAAAAAAGAATATACTAAGAAAAAAGAAAAATATATATCTAAGAAATATTTATTCGGTGGCTACTAACAACATATATTTATTTATACTAATATAAAATATTTTTTAAATAAGCAAATATTCTTTTAGAGCCTTAAGAGAACGTTTATGAAAGCTTTTCATGAATTGTGTAACCTATTAAAAAAAAAAGAATTTAGATTTAAATAAATATGTTATTAGTGTACCCAGGAAATAAATATCTACCATTTTTTGGATATTTTCCTCACAAAATATATCTAATTTTTATTTGTATATGCTATGAACGAGCAAAAGAGATGGTTTAAGCAAAGTGCGGTTAAAGTCGGTGTGATTAAAGATAATTTAAGCAAGTCGAAAGAAATTTAATATTTCACCACAAAAGTTTCGCGGGCATGCCACTTAAGTCAGGGGTTAAGTGCTCCGAAAGAAAAAAGTAATCTCACCCAAGCTCTATAACGATTCAACGAACTTCTAATGAATGGCCCAAGCGAGTAATTCGAATGTTACACGGCAATATGTGCCGATTACAGACTCCCACGATAGGCACCGCGAACCGGTGTGTCATTAAACTTGAAACTATCCGTCACGCTCGGGGAAATTCTGGAGCAACTCGACACCGCGCTCGTCGTCCGAGACGCGGAAGCTCCCCGGAGTCGTCGCGTTTAGCCGCTTACGTGCACCGGCGTGCGTAATTAGGATGAAAACGCGGGATTCGAATGCTCGATGAGGCTGACAGCGGTCGACGGCGGGAGAAAGAGAGAGAGAGGGGGGAGAGGGAGAAAGGGAAAGAGAGAGAGGTGCAGGGCATGTCATTAGTAGTCCGACGACTTCGCCGGTGACTGGCATTCCGTCCGCTAGCCGCGGTGAAAATCGTGCTGGAACGGAACACCGACGCACCCTCTTCTCTCCCTCCACTTCTTCTTCTTCTCCTCCATCCACTTTGCTCTTTCCCTGTTCTTTTTTTTCTCTCGTCTCTTTTCTCGTCCCTTTCGCTTCCACTCCTTTTTCCCCCGATGGTTCTTACGTGCCACGAATCGGGGTCTCGAATGCGCGGTCCCCAACAAACGCGCCCGTAACGATTGCCCGCTGAGACGAAGAACGTAATTATAATATAGCGCGTGTCGAACGCGCGGCCGCTGACAATATCGATCCGATGGCCCATTCTTGTCGAGTGTGTATGTACACAATGTTCACACTCGACCCATTCCTAGCCTTCGATCCCTCGTGTTCCTGGCCGAGTCTTTGATCGCGGAGAGAAGAGATAAATTGATTTTAATTAAAGTATCTCGGAAACCCACCCTGTTAACCACCTCGCCACTGGTTTTCTTTTTTATCATATGAATTTTATTCATAAACACGGATAAGATAAATATCGTATCAAAGTCCTTAATTTGATAATAAAGTTGTTGCTGCGTCTTAGACGCGCAGGAAAAAATATTCAATGCAAATAATACCATTGTATTAGTAACATATGGAAACATCAGTAAATCAAATAAATATATAAATCATATCAGTAAATTTTATATTGGTAAAACATTTCAGCAAATCATCTGAGTAAATCATATCAGAGTCAATCGATCAAATCAATTAAATGAATAGATGACACATCAAGTTTAGTCAGTGAAAATTTTTAACACGTTGATAGCCGGTTATCATTGAAGCATAAAAAACAAACTGATAATTGAATTTTTAAATATGGAATAAATAAATAATTCGAGATACCATTCACATCTTTCACCTCGTCTCAGTGGTTTTTCATTGGCCATACCAATGATTTTCCAAATGCTGTTATTAATGATTCTTGATGTACGTAAGACGTGATACTATCGCAGTGTCGATTACCGGCGACCGGCACGGTATTCAACGTGTTAATATTCTTGTGATATCCCTTAAACTTTTTCCTCTGTAATGAATTTTCTCACTTTCATTCGCAAGGAGAAAGTAAAACTATGTCAATCGTAAATGAACGAATGTCATTTCTGAGCTCGGATATTACCATCAAAGAACTCAAGGTGGCGTAATTAAGCACCGCGCAATTTCATTACTCTCAACGAACGATGCGCAACGGTTATTATAGCATGAACGCAACAGTCGACATCATTTATGCACTATTTGTTTGCCGTTTACGTCACCGTCCTCTGTTGTAATTACACCATCATCATTGAGACTAATAACATTTGCGTCGAAGTGTTTTGAATTGCATCGCGCTTACGCGTACCGGCCTATTCCCGAATCGAAATTTTCGTTCTACATCGGTCCTGCAAATTCTATCAAACTTGAAAGAACAATGTAGGATGTATCAATTATATAACTTATTCAAGTACAAGTAGAATATGTGAGATAAGCCAATATTAAATAAATAGATATCAGTATATGGAGAAAAAAGGGAATTTGGTAAAATAAAACAATTTATTCTCATCTCTTCTTAATTTCTCTTTTTTTCCTTTCCCTTTTTTTTTAGGTTGGATGCTTCGATGAGAATAGAAGCTCTTAAAAGAGCTAATTAAAAGCTGTAAAAGAAAATATAATAGTTAATGTGTCTAATAATGCTATTAATACAAATTAAAATCTATATTCCACTTAATAATAATCAATTTAGAAATCTAAAATAATAATAATAAATCTGGAATCCATTGAAGAATAAAAAGCTAAAAATACAAAGAAAGCATTGACAGATATAACAAAATCAGATTTCTGATACAAGAAGCATTATTAGACGCAAAAATTGACATTTGCGACATTCACACTAAATTCTCTAAGACCGATATTCATAGTTAAAAATTATTCATAGTGAATAAATTACAATCTCTATAGAAAACTCTGAAAAAGAGAACATAATTAATTACGAATTTATACTAATGAATTATTATGTGATTATTTGGATCAATATTTCTTAAAACTGCATAAAACAAGTATATTAAACAAGTTCAACAATTAACGAGTAATCAAATATTCACGAAACTATAATCTATCATGCCACGACCTGTCAAATAATGAGGAACTATGAATGTCGACCTGAATTTCGGGTATCTGCTTCTCGGTAAACCCGCGAAACGTCAATTAAAATCAGAAATTTCTCTATAATGATATGAGTGATTTCCATACCTGGAAACACATGATGCATCGCTGCCTGCGTCGTACTTCCTTCGTTCCTAGCTCCTCGGTTCAGCATTTTGGCTGCAGGTTGCTCCATCGCGACACTAACACTGACACTGACACTCGCGTAGATTACGATTCGATCGGAAAAATGTGTGTTAAATAACGCGATGCCGCGACGAGAGAGTCCGATTAAATATATCACGAGCCGACGAAATATTGCAATCAGCAGATATACGTGCTCTCCGATATGCGCGTCGCTCGGCGTCTCGGGACGAAGTAAACACTCGATAAGGTACGCAACGCAAAAGTAGGTAGAGTACATTTAACCGATTTGAAGGTCCGGAATGCATTGATGATGTTTGTTTTGATCGCGCTTGAGACGTTGGATAGCGCGACGCAAGTGGCGATCGGTAGAAAGTGACGTCGCCGTTTTTGTTCACAGTTTCGGTTTCTCACGCGCCGCGCATGCCTTTGTGTGTTTTTCTATTACTGTGAATATACATTTTACGTTATTATGAGATCATTATGAAATCATAAACCTATTATTAAGTATATGATGTCACCGATTTTCACGGATGTTTCATGAGTGAATATCTCTTTATTTTCTGCAGATTTTCATAAATTTGTAGAAAACAAAGAGATATTCACATGTGTTAATTATTTAATATTTACTTATCTCACATGTTCCCTCTGCAATTAAGTAAAGCACACAAGCAATATTTGAGTGCAGGCGTAGAATGTTGAAATAACTAAATATTAAGATAAATTTGAAATGTCTGTTCACGATATTTAACGTGGATAAAAAATTGCAGAAGAAATTATTTGTAGCATCAAGGTAAAACACATTGAGAGAAAACAATTGTTGATCTGAATAAAATATTAGTAATACATGCATATAAGGTTATCACTGATGTTATAGTATTTAATTAGAAAATTGTCTTCTTGACTATAATTTATAATATAATTATTTCTCTATGTGATTGTTACGAACATCAAGTAATTTTTCCTCAGTGTGCAATATCCTCGTACAATATTCTCTAGACGCTCCATTGGTCTTAAAAATTTATCGCAATTTGCGGGCTAAGTGTAGAACGAAAATTTCCACACGGGATTAGAAAGAATATGCTTTCTCCCGTATCTTGATATTCTCAAAAATCTATTTTTACGTGTTGAGTCAAGACGTTTTCCCTCCGATATGTGCAGTCGCTTCACACTTTAATGGCACCTCTTGTGCCTTCTCGAACCAATTTTATTGGACAGAAGCGCGAGAGAAGCTCGAGATATCTAATTAAAACTTCTCAGGAGGACGCAAACAGAGACGCGCTCGGAACGCAAATAATTAAGAAGTCGTCGCTTCACTCCGTGAAAGAGACAGAGGAAAAGATTCTGATGTCGCTCTGCATCGCGATTTTATCGCAAGTGAGTCTCACGCGCACGCACAATGCGTGCATCATTCCGAACAGGCTTGTGTTAACGCGAACGAAAATTGGTGCGGTACGTTTGCGTACGAGTATTGGTAACCGGATGCGCGACCGGATGATCGATTATCGAATGACTCCATTCCGCTATCGCGATGGTAAAAGTCTCGTCTCTGACTGGTAACGGTACTGCCACCGCGTGTATTCACGGGAGAGAAGTTGCGTGGGTTGCGTGCTCATTATCGGCCAGCGCGTTATCTGTCGCCACGAAAATACAATTTATTGGCTTAACATCGATATAAATCTACTAGCGAAAAAGGGGGAAGAGAGAGAGAGAAAGAGAGAAAGTTCGTCTTTGAATTTCAGCATAGATTAGCTTTTAACAAAAACACTCTAAAAAGAAATGTAATTAACATGTGTAATTAACATGTATCTTTAGCATCACGATGAGAAAAATCAAACAATTACAGGTAAAAGTATCAATTGTCGAACACATATTCAATTCTGGACATTCTTATTGTTTGGTCTTTAAATTAAATTAAATATAAACATTTAAACTTTTGATATGTATATAATATAAACATATATATTTTTTATATTGAAAATTCAAGTATTCATATTTAAAAACAAGAAGAATATCTAAGGTCAGATATGGCTTTAGTACTTTTAATTAAAAGCGGCTCGCGGAGTTGACCGATGATAACGAATAAATTTTTGAGATATTTCTCACACACGTGTAACGCAGGAGAGTGCATTTCATCGCGATGAAGTCGCGGTATTCGTAAACAAAGCGAGAACACTTGTGGTCGCGATGCTTATGCAATCTAAGAAGAAGGAGCGCAGATCAGAAGTGCGCCGGGTCGATTGAATGATGATGATTTCGACATGATTTCCGCCTCGCGAAGAGCAAAGCTGGCCGAGCAGACTCAACCAGGCCAGACTAGACTAGACCAAGGGTATTCTCTATTGGATGCGGTGACCGGAAAGCACCAAAAATAAAACCTGCATCATCCTTTCGCGTGCCATTAGCTAATCCCTATTTATAAGATATTATGTTCACCCAAGCGCGCACATGTCCACCGGTACAGAGGAAAGAGAGAAAGAAAGAGAGTGGGAAAAGGGGGAGGGAGGGAAGAGGAAAGAAATAAAAAAAAAGGAGAACGCCACGCACATATGCCTAACACGCGTAAAACGCTGATGGTCGATGGTTGAACGGCCACGCATCGGTGCGGCGCAACGCCAACTAAAAATATCCGAAACCGTCTAGATAAGTCCTGTGGCGTGCGATCCGCGGAGCGTCGGATCTGGTGGGCGTTTTATTAATGGACTCGGATTACCAGAAATCAAAATTATCGTGGGCGTGCGGGACATGCAGCCGGCTCCCCGGAGAATTCCAGAACGCAGTCACGATGCAGTCGCACGGTTAGATAAAAGTACCAAACCTGGACAGTGCACTAAGAAAAAAATTTACTAAATTTCAAAAAACGTCTGTTTGGATAGTACTGTGAAGATATTTGTTTAAATTAAGTAATTATTTTATGAAATTAAAAAACCAAATTTATATTTAAAACTAATTTTAGAAAATAATTACTTAATTTAAACAAATACCTTCACAGTATTATTCAAACAAACGTTTTTTGAAATTTAGTAAATTTTTTTCTCAGTATGTGTATGTGTGTGTGTGTGTGTGATACATTGATACTTAACTCTGGACATACTTATTGTTTTGATTTTCAAATACGTATTTTAAAAAGTATTTTAAATATTTTAAGTATTTTAAGTATTTTAACTTTCAATATAGAATACTAATATAAACTATTCAGCAGTTATCACAAAATGTCAAAGGTTATCACAAAGTGTCAAGAGCATGAAATCAAGGGGAATGGAGTATCCAGATTTCATGTGGCCTATATTTTCCACAGGATCCTAAGGACTAACTATACAAAATTTGACCTAGATCGGTCAAAAGGTTTAAGAGTTATACACATAGATCCGTATTCTGAGTTCTCTTTTAACGATAAATGAGTCTTTAAAAGTGGCTTATAAGCTTTCTGATTAGCTATGAGTCACACACACTTTTAGAAGCTCATTTATCGTTAAAAGAGAACTCAGAATACGGGCCACAGTATAATATATATACTTATATTATATACATATCAAAAGTTTAAATGTTTATATTTAATTTAATTTAAAGACCAAACAATAAGAATGCACAGAATTAAATGTCCGACAATTGGTACTTTTATCTTACCTGTAATTGTTTAATTTTTCTCATCATGATGTTAAAGATACACGTTAATTACACATGTTAATTACCACAAATTTCTTTTCAATGTAAAATAATAAAAATATCCAAAGTCAAGCGTTATCAATACTGAGTTAAGCGTTAAGCGTATTCAGTGTTATCAGTGTCCTGACATTGCTACTTTCAGCTTAGGTAACCGTTCGTTCATAGTCGCTCCCGCGCTCTCTACATACAACGGAGAGATGTCTTTATTTTCTCATTTCTCTTTCCCTTTATTTTCCCACTAAAGACGCGTGGCACTACGGTAACGTCGAGCCTTTATTGCGCGCTCGCTAATTTACTTTCGTACACTTCGGCTTATTTTCCAGGGACTCCCTCGGTCGCCAGGAAGCAATTACTCGTACGCCCGATCGCCGGTACTATACCGTACTGTTCACGTGCACTTTTTCACCGTAATCGTTCTCTCCGCTCCCTCCCCCCACTCCCCACTTAGCAACGCACCTTGTTACACCTGACTTCCGCGTCGGTGTATCTCCTCCGCGCGTGATCCGGATTCCGAGAGAAGTTTCCCCCTAGCCGAAAATACCAAGCGAACAATCACCGGTAGTGTGTTACCCGCCCGTGTAGGATCGCCGAGAAATTACGCGAGTGTTAATCACGGCGCGGAAGATATGAAAAAAATAGAGTCCTCTGACACACTTCTGTTTGCTCACCGATAAGGCAACGATAACCATGATTTATGTTGCGGATGCATTTTTGTTGCTTGCGCTTATCGGCAAGCGTTTCAGTCGAGAGACGTAAAATATGTCCGGCGCAACGTCGGGGGGCAAAGAGCGCGAAAATCGCGCGAGGCTTCTCGTTTGACACGAACGACGAGGTGCATGCCCCTGGCGAGGCGCGTTTCGTTAGTATGCACGTCGTTCGCGAACGCGATTGATCTCGATTAGCGGCCCAGACTAGCGAGAATCGCCTAGATCGTGTGTATCCTGGTCGGCGGTCTCCCCCGCTCTCCCACACGACCCGCGCGAATAAACCGAACGCTCGTAAATCCTACACCGAGGAGGCTTTTCAGCGGGCCCGACCTATTAAAATTCCAGGACGACAGCTGGACGGGAAGCTGATAGTTCTTTAGTCTCCACCACGTTTAAAAACCAGTACGGGACCAAGCCGCGCTGGCTTCATACTGCTGGTATAACGCATGCTTCGTCCCACGTTATTCTCGCGGGATGATAATTGTGTACGGGAAAATATATACTGCGTTCGAGTAAATGTTACTTGTTTCGAGTAATTTGCGTGATTTTGTATTCGCACATTTATCAAAAGCTCATCATAAGCATTAAGTTTATTTAAGAGACATCTTGAAAGACCAAACAATAAGAGAGTCAGAATTTCAACATAAAAAAAAATATATATATATAGGTTTAACAAAAATATTCTAAAAATAAATGTAATTAACATGTGTAATTAACGTGTAATCTTTAACATCATGATGAGAAAAATCAAACAATTACAGGTAAGATAAAAGTACCAATTGTCGGACACTTATTGTCGGACATTTAATTCTGGACATTTTTATTGTTGAGATCTAGTAAATCTAGCATCTTAATTAAGAATATTAAATTAAAACAAAAATTCAGTTTGCTTACTTGCACAGAGTGGAACCAACTTTTTCATTGATATAATTTCATAATATTTTTGTAGAGAGAATAAATTCTTCTCTTTTGAGTACGTGATAACGAGCTTGCCTTGAATTTGCGATGAGTGTACTTTAAGATTTATATTTTATTTTAAGAGTGTATTTTTTTTTATTTTAGATATTCTTTTTCTCTTAGTGTTAGTTGCACCGAGAAACAAGATTTGACTGCCGTGGCTAATCATGATGTACTGAAAATGAACTTGCCGTAACTAAATGTTTGCTGTTGTGAACAAAATTTTCGCTACT